AACATAAATACCACTGAAGAATACAGTGGAATTTGGTCATTAAAAAGTATGTTATTCAAACTGAACGTCTTGGTGTGTTCTTATTCATTTACAGAGCCTCTCATCGAATGAAAGAAATACTGAAAGTCGAATACTGAAATCCTCCCTAAATTTCCAGGCAATTGCATACACATACCTATTCATGTCTGTGTATCCTTTGTTCTATGCCACTTCCTTTTCATTTTATTTGAAAATTCATTTCAACTTTTCTCTAATCTTTCATGTACATATTATTTGTTGTATAAAGTTCGTTCGGTTTTTATCTAAGAAATGGCATTATTGTCCATAGTGTCTGTGTTGGGTGTCGCATCAGTGACAGTTTTTCTATTGTTTGACTCAGTACTTTGTGTGTGTCAAAGATGGACACCAACAAAGAGAAAATTCGCTATTTTTTTTTTAAATTTTTCTTCGATCAAGGCGAAAAGCGAAAATTAAAAATATTAATTTAGTTTATGGGCTCGATACTGTAAACGAACGTGTACAAGTAGCACAAAAGTGGTTTGCTATGTTCCGTTCCGGTAATTTCGAAGCCAAAGATGCACCACGCGTCGGGAGCACTTATTTAATTGCTGAGGAACTAAAGATGAGCAAGAAAGCCGTTTGGTACCATTTGGATAACCTTGGATTCAAAAAGAAGCTCGAACTCGAACTAACGCAAAAAAGTATGATGGACCGAATTTCCATCTGCGAATCGCTGCTGAATCGCAAAAAAATCGATTGTGAGTTGAGATGAAAAATGAGTCACTTACGACAACATTGAGCGCAAACGGTCGTGGTCAAAGTTCAGGGAAGCGGCATATGTTTGGTGGGATTGGCAAGGAATCATCTACTACGTGCTGCTCCCCTACGCTCGATTGCCAACAAATGGACCGCTTGAAGGCAGCACTCATCCAGAAGAGGTCATCAGAAGCCCCAGGACTTCGGATAGGAGGTCCTGATGCACCCACCTTATAGTCCAGACCTGGCACCAAGTGATTACCATATTTTCCTGCCCATGGCGAACGCGCTTAATGGTAAGAAGTTGACCTCAAGAGAGGCCTGTAAAAATTGGTTCTCCAATTTTTTTTGCCAATAGGGACGCAGCCTTCTACGAGGGGGCATCTCCTTGGCAAGAAGTTTACGAACAATGGGACAAATGTACACAAAATTATAATATTTTGAAAAGTCAATAAGAACCCTAACGAACCTTTTACTTTACCCAATATTGCTCATAAGTAACCTTATTCCTTTGTCTTCATTTCATAAATACAAGTCTGTTCTTTTATGAGCATTGAATAAATTAAGATTTTTTTCTTGTCTGTTGAACTTTTTCTTTATTATATTTTTTTTTTGCTTTCGAGAGCTTCCTTAAAAAACGGAAATAATACCATAAAAGTGAATATCACTTTTAATCCTTTATGGAAGGGAGAGGGAAAAAGTAACACATACTTCAATTTTCAGCTCAATGCACCGAGTGATTACACTGCGAAAAAAGTAGAAACTGAAATGAAAAATCAAAGCAAAATTGAAATGCAATCGGATTTCCCTTCTGCAAGTTTCTTTGCTGCTGAATGTTTCTTTTCGACTTTGCGGTTGTTATTTGTCACCGCTTTGTATCCAAAGGCTAACGACCAACCATCCACTTGGACTTTATTTCGATATTTTTTTATATTTATATTTCTTGTGTTCACTTTGATAGTCAATTTTCGATTTGTACTGCTGCGGTGATAGATATGGACGTGAAATATCTTTCCAAATGAACAAATACATATAAATATCTGTATGTATATTTGTGTATATATGTATTAGTTTGAACGCCAACTCGTTCACGTACGTGCCCAGACAGATGTTTTACATTAAATTTGTTGCAGATACCGCAAGCCGCTTCAATTTGTTGAAATGCTTCCCTTCTTTAGCCAGGCCCTAGCTTAGTTCCATTTAATAAATACAATCGATTGAAATCTATTTGTAAAGTAAAATTTAGCTCATAAGCTATCCTCACTTTACTGCCGCTTTCGTTTTATTATTATCCTGCACTTCTGCGCTTCACATCTAGTATATTATCAAGGCACAAATTGTAATTTACACAACCCCTTAATTAGTCAATCGAAACAAATGAATGAATGCACTTAATGGCAACAGGCGTTGATCTACCCTTAACACCACCTAAGACCACCTAAGACACATGGTTAGACGATTAAACTGCAATAAATATTTTATTATTAGTACCAGAGGGGAAAATCCTAGGGAAAAGGAAGCCATACATATATAGATTGATGTTGACAACTAGGTACCCTGAATGTCATTGCCATCTATTGTCGCAGCGGACAATAATAAGGCAACCAAAATTTTAACATCTGCAACCGTTTATGCTGCAATTTGGAGTTGATTGTCGAGACTAGAGTAGTCGATTTCTAGTACACTTTACTCTATTCGCTTGCCAATGACTGTTCTACACACACATACACACTCGTCAAAATACAGATACATGCATATATAGTAAGATACGAGCCAGTTAAGTTTAAGTTAAGCGAGCGCAATCGGTCAAAGACTTCTTTCACTGCAGTTGAATGGATATAAATTGCCAAAATCTCCAAAGAACATGCTGCAGACGATACAGCGGGCTATATAAACAGCATAAAAAGGTGAACGACAATCAGCTGCCCACATGAAGGCTTCAAAAATGAGTTGGCAGCTGAGCGGGTGGTCGAGTATACAACCGTTAGCCAAGTTTTGGTTAAAGTCGTTGTCCCATTGCGACGTCGTATTCTTCTTTCTCCTATTTACGCCTAAACTTGGCGTTCGTATTCAATAAAGGCGAATGACACTGGTTTCATTTTTATGAGCTAACAATTTTTGTGTGTAAAGGTTTTTATAATTCTCTTGGTCCTGAAATAGGTAACAAATGTATGGCAGTTTTCTGTCACTGCTGCTGTTGCACATGCACAACTTTTGGCAAACAAAAGTTTTAAACCAGATATTTTCTGCTTTAATCAGAAAATAAACTAATCTAAAATAAAATAGAAAAAAATATATGATAAATAATATTTAATTTTATTGGAGTAAGCAAAAAGTTAATAAAGCCTATTAATAATATAATAGGTGCTTTGCAACCGCAGGAGCGATTTTCCTCCTACAATTTGTTGTTTTGCGTATTGATGTTTTTCCAACAAATGGAGGGACCTACAGTATGCACTAAGCCGCCTACGAACATCTAATGGTTTTTATGAGGGGCTTTTTTCATGTTAGAAATGCACTCGGAGGGGTTGACATTCCCTGCCGAGGAGCGGCCGCAATTAGAAAATTTAACTTATTTTTTATTTTAATTAATTTTCTACAACCATTTGGCTACTGCGGCCCTAATAAAACGAAACAAATAAAAAGTTAATAAGCAAAATTAAGTAAAAACAACAAAAACAAGAAGGTGAAATAAAATTATTAAAAAAAAATAGATTAAGAAAGAAAAAAAGAAAAAAAATGATAAAAAAAAAAATTAAAAAAAATAAAAAAAAAAATAATAAAAAAAATAAAAAAGAAATAAAAAAAAAATATAA